CAGTAAATATATTAATGGACAATGTGTAATACTGATAACACTTTATGACAATATGTAAATAATATATTTTTCATAGTAAGTCAAACTAGAATAATCTGCAGATAGCTGAAGAAAAACTTTATAGCCATGTTCAAAGAACTGAAATATTGAGTGGGATTAACCATATTTAGTTTAATATATATAGGAATAATATTCAGCATCCCCTTAAAAAAGAGATTTTTATATTATGTAAATTACAAGTGTGTTAGCTGAAAAAATGAGTTCTCATTCTTATCACAGAACAACATTAGCGAAATTGTTTCCCCCCCATCTTGAACAGGTACAATGTTGTGATCTTCGGTGGAGTGAAACCCAACTTGAGCGAGCGTATAAAAAGAGTTGAGCGAGCACGTAGTGGCTGAGTTGAGCGCGCGTAGGACAGGTTGAGCGAGCGTGCGCAGGACAGGTTGAGCGAGCGTGCGCGGCAAGCTGAGCGAGAGAGACGCTGTGAGCGGGAGCACGGTGGCGGAGTTGAGCGCGCGTAGGACAGTTTGAGCGAGCGTGCGCGCCAAGCTGAGCGAGAGAGACGCTGTGAGCGAGAGCGCGGTGGCCGAGTTGAGCACGCACAGAGCAAAAACATTGCTCGCGAATGTCCTTCTGCGCGCACAGGAATGTGGCACTAATATAACGCCATACAGCATATGTCAGGTCGCTGTTTTCATCTGCAGCAATTCAACACATTTATGGCAAAATTGCCAGTTTTAGAGTCATTTATTTGCCAAAAAAGCTACCTGGTCAGTATAGCCACTCGAACACGGTAAAGTGTCTGTATTTTTACTTGCATTTTTTAAGTGTGGCGTTTATAAACAGCGCTGTTACAAAGACGTGCATTATTTAATCTCCCTGAGTAAAAATTATTTAGATCAATGAAATAAGTAAAAACTTTAGAACTTTGCTCATATTGACCTCTTTTGTATTATTATTCTCCACATTCACACTCTTTGTCCGTAAACTTCAACGTGGGAATGGGGTATTATCTATAGTGGTACTTTTTGCAATGTTTACCCAATTTAGCTCTTTTTGTAGATTCATTTAAAACTGTTATTAGGCTGCCAGAACAGACAGTTCTATGAAAATAAACACCCACTCTACATGTCTGGACTAATAAAATAGTATTTGCCAAAGACATGGTATACAATAAAATATGGACTGGTTAGCTATTTTTCTGTTTTGTTTTTGCTCTCAGCGCAGATATGAACAAAATTGGGTCTAGTTCAACTCTCCGCCGAAGGGCACGCAATGCTGTGAGAAGGCGCTTGAATGAGATTATTGAGGAA